GTTTTTTTTTTTTGTTTTTTTTTTATTTCTTTTGCCTTGTAGCTCTTCTCGAGTCGGTGCATGACGTAGAATCCGAGGACGCCGCCGAGGATGGTGCCGGCCATTATTCTAGCGTATGCCCATTTGTAGGAGACCATCGATCTCCGCTGCTCGAAGTGAGAGGGATTGAGCTCTGAAGTCTGTAAACTTGGGGGCGATAGTGGGCTTTGTCGTACCCAAAAAGGAGCCAAATAGCAAAAGACGACAATAATAATAATAATCATAATAATGAAATAAAATAAAAATAATAATTTACATATATAGCCTTGCATCATCAGTATTTGCAAAAATACACTTCAAATCTCAATATTTACAAGAACTACCCCTCACATCACTAAGTTCAAAGTAATTAATCATCAACTTTAATAAGCTAATTTATAATCCCAATGTAAAATTTATTAACAAAATAGCCAAATTTTTAGCACCAGGTTGATGAGTTTTTTATTTTAGGGGTATTTTTTCACAAAGTTACGATTGGAGCGATAGTTTTGGAAATACTAAGATTTAGGGGGTATTTTAGCAAATACCCATGATTTATGGGGGATATATATGAAAATGACCACAAAAAAAAGGACTTCGGATTCAGTGATCTGTATCCGAATGCTCGCCGTAATACAACTTGTGCAATGATGGATTTGCCGTCTTTGGATCGCTTCCGCTCGATCACCTCAATAATGAAGTTCACGATGCGAGAGTCGTCGTAGTTCAAGTATGCCCGATGAAGAGACTGCGCATAGAAGCGTCATGGTTTCCGTTGCGATGAGATTGACATCAACGTGAGAAAAGCGAAAAAAAAAACTCATATTTTATTTTACGAGCTCAGTGCATGAGCGCAAATGAGGATTTTTATTATGTTTTATTTTACTTTGTATATTTAATTTTATTTTAGGGCAATTTTCCTATATATATAGCCGCCGAATATTCCATATTTGCAAATTTACTTTCTACTAATCTTGATATCAACTAGTTTACATCTCCAAATTTATCACATCGGGTTGTTCTACCCCTTAGTTAGCACCGTTAGAAAAAGGCTAAAATACCAAATTAGCCTAAATATTGTCACCTCTTTACCACTTTGGCCTAAAAAGTGACACCGGCGATAATTTAACCTAACAAGTAACAAATCGGTGATAAATAAACATTTCATGTCACAAAAGTAATTTTTATGCAAGAAAATTAACAGATTTTTATATACCCTTTAAATTTCTCTTAAATTGCTCATATTTTTTTATTTAACCCCTCAAGTTTTAAAAATTATAAATAAGAACCCCTCTCTCACTCCCCACCATCTTTCCCTCCTCTTCTTCTCATATTTTTTATTCTTTTCTTTTCTCAATCGTCACTATTCTCTCTCCTTTCTTTCACATATCCTCACTCTTAAGGAGATTGGTTTTTTCATGATTGGAGGATGAAAGATGAGTAGGAAGTAAGGAGGAAGAGAGTACGTAAAAAAAGAAGGGAAGAATGAGGTTAAGATTGTGGTGGAATCTATAAATTTGGGTGTTAGGTGTTGGTGAAGCAAGTAGGAAGAGAGAGTGAGAGGAAGGAAGAGAGAATGAGAGAGAGGAGGAGATGTTGTGGATTTTGAGTAAAAGAAATGGGAGGAGATAAAGGAAAATAAAGAGTAAGTGTGATGATCAATGAAATAAGGTAGGAGAGAGAGGGAGAAGGGAAGGTTAGGGTATAGGAAGAACAAGGGAATGAAAAAGATGGTGGGAAGGAGGAAGAATGTAGTGGAAAATGAGGATGTCTTTTTACAAATTTTAGAAATCATATTTCATATTCCCTTTAAAAGTACGAGTTCGGGAAAATCTTTGCATGGTCAATATTACCCTTAACTTTTTTAAATATAACAGTATTATCCTAATTTATTCTAATTATCATATCTTCTTTGAATTGGTAACTAAATGATTTATCATATTCATAATGAGACTTAACATGTTATTGTATAAAAAAATATGTTTCATATAATTCAAATCCTTCACTTATTTCAGTTCGTAGAGAAACTTAAAAAACATATGCTAGCCATGTGACGCCCCTGGGTTCACACAAGGCTGCAGTCCAAGGTGAAACCAAGAATGTCAAACCTGCCATGCACCACACCGTGCAATAACATGTTTCACCATCACAATTAACATTTATCTAGTAGAGTCAACAATAGGTGTAGGTACAAAAGAAAGTAAAAGATAGTGCAAGAAGTAACTGATGAAGTGATAGTGATCACATTAATATCTCATCATCCAACATACAGAAATACATAGTCAATATCTGAATAGATAATTGGAATACTCAACAAGTCTCAAATACAAATGTCTGACAAGAGGAAATAAGGCACACCGCCTTTACAACTTCTAGAATAAGACTCTCAAATACCTAAACAAAAGTCTACTGTGGAACTCCAAAAGAAAATATATCTAAGTAAACAGCTGAAGCTAAAATACCTCGCCATCAACCTGCGGCTCTCCGGGCTCCTGGCTCGTTACCTGAAAGGGGGAGGGACAACGAGCGTCAAAGCGCTAGCGAGCAACATCACAACCAACCCCAAGGGAACAGGGCTCGTTGTATAAGAAAATATAGATAATACATAATAGATCTAAAATCATTAATCTTACTAAAGAGGATTTTGGTATTTAGAAATTTACAACACGAGCATAGGTACGTCGAGCGAAATAATCCAAACAAGGAAACCCTCATGTATATACCTTGTATCTCAAATTGTAAATCCCTAAACACCAAACCCGAAGTTCTAGTACAGGAACGATAATAAAAGAAATACAACTAATCTCAGCGCATAAGTACAGTGTCATGTCATAGCCTACATGAATGTCATGTTATTACTTACATAAGTATCATGTCATAATCTACATAAATGTCATGTCATAAACTCCTGTGAGAAAGTCATACACAGGGTTAAGGAATATGTCCGATACAGGAACTAGGTACTGTGGTTTCCAAACACATGGAATAAGTGGCAAATGTCCAACACGATGACTGAAGTGGATTATAGTCCAACACGAGGACATCTATGGATTATAGTCCAACACAAGGACTGTGTAACAGTGGAAAGTATATGCGGAAAGATATACCAAATCTAAATTCGCACGCATCTCGGTGTACATGTCTAAACTTGTGTCAAAGGTCAACCCACATGCACAGATAAATCATTAACATGGTAAACTAGTGTCAGGTCATCGAGGCGACCCGAAAAGCAACTCAAACAGATCAAAAAATCTGAAAAACATCTCATCAGTCGACTGATGTGTCGACTGATGACATCAGTCGACTCATATGTCGACCGAAAAAGCTCAGGCAGCACAGCCTCAGCTCACCAGTCGATTGACTTGTCGACTGAGGAACTGAGAAAAGAACAATCAACCCATCAGTCGACTGATCAGTCGACTGATGACTGAAATTTCAGCCCGTCGGTCGACTGATCAGTCAACCGATGGACTGCAGAAATTCTGCACAGGTTGTTATTCACCCAAAAGTTGATCTAAACTCATCCCCATCAATCCCAAGCATGAAAAATACTGATATCAACATATATGTACCAAACTGGAATGAAAGACCCACATGTAAACATTTATCAAAAACCTTAAACACATAAAAACATGTTTGATACGTTTTGAAATCAATAAATCATGAAATAACTCTTGTCAAACGTTTTTCAGATCTAGATCCCTTTAATAAAACATTGTTGGTCTTTTTATAAACTGAGATGCTCAATACCTCACCTCATATACCATAAAGATTCATTCTTTGTACTAAAAATACGTTTTTGGCTAAATCAAAACTCATTAAACTCAATAAATTCGTGTAAAACAAAAGGGACAGAGTTGGGCGAGATGTTACTCGCCTCTGGGTGATGAACAACTCCTGGATCTGAGAGAGAGTGGTTCTCCTTCGCTGCAACGTGAAGATTTCGACGAAAATTCTCCAAGTTCTTCCCCAAATCACCAAGAACAAGGCTAGGGTTTGAGATAGAGGAGAGGGGGGCTAGGGTTTTTCTCAGATCTGAAGATGAGAGGGGTGAATTCGGATGAAAAAGAATATATGTGAACAGCTAAACCCGACCCAAACCCGAACCAAAACAAAACAGACCCGAAACCTGAAAAACTTAAAATCAGCGTATCAGTCGACTGATGTGTCGACCGATACAGTCAGTCGACTGATGTGTCGACTGATCTGGAAAAATTTAGTTTTGTGCATGTTTTGCTAATTTGTAAAACCAACGCACAAAACTCTACACCCATACTCTCATATCATCTCAAATAACTTGCTATCATGTACTTCAATAACCTCAAGCTATTTATCATAAAAGAATTATTTATTTACTAATAATTCACATATATTCACATGTATGTATGTATGTATGTATGTATATATATATATATATATATATATATGCAGGAAACTGTAGGTGAGCTGGCAGCGCTCTCTTGCGTGCGCTGCAGGGGCTTTTTTACAAAAGTTCCCGCGATTCTTTGCGTGAATTAAATCCCCCGTGACCTCTCTCTCTCCTGAAATAAATCCTGCCAACCTCTCTCTCTTCCCCCCAGAGATACCCAATTTCACGCCCTCCTCCTCCAAAAATCGCTCATCTCTGCCGTCCTCCTCCCAAAATGGAGCCGTCAGCCCGCCGCGAGGCTCGTCGCGCGTGCCCCAAAGACACCACACCTGATCGAGCCCTCTGAGCCGCCGCATTCGCCTGCAACAGATCCACCTGATCTCGATCTCCGCCGCGAGCCCTCTGAGCCCTCTGAGCTGTAGGTAATCCCTCTCTCTCTCGACCTCCAAAAGCTACGAGATCCCCCCCACCTCGATCTCTCGATCCCCCCACCCCTCTCTCGATCTCGAGATCGATCGATCTCCCCACCCCCTCCGCGAGATTCCTCGTCCTCCTCTGCGAGATTCCCCCTCTCTCTTGCTATTCCATTTGCATATTATTGTGCTTAAAACTTGTTATTATGATGGAATATTGTATAATTATGATCAGCATGTTGTAGTTAGCAACAAATTTTCGAAGATGGTTTTCATGAAAAACCCTTGGTTGTAGTTAGCAACAAATTTTCATCAGTTCATTGTATTATTTTGCAGTCTAAAAAATTCACAGAGCATTGTATAATTTTGCACTCTTAAAAATTCACAGAGCTATCATTAGAAAAGTATGTTAGTTTTGTCTAAAAAATCCAAAGTTCATGGTAATTTTATGAATTTAACCGTTTAAGATGATTTCAGCTTTTCTCTTTTGTTGTCTTATTTTAATTGGATATAGTATTCGATAGTTTTTAAATTACAGTATCATATTACCAATAATGGCTTTAGGCCACTCCTTGAACAGTCATACACACTCATTTTTCTTTGTTCCATGGAAAAAAAGTTGTGAGCCTGATCTTGAATCTAAAATATCTCAAAATTAAAACAAGAAAACTTATCTGAGTTGAGTGTCATGGATAAAAGAAACTGGTCTCCCCCTTGCTGCGATCTTCGAAATATTTCACAATAATTGGTGGGCATTTTCTTTAGTAACTACTATAACTAGAAATATTTCACAATAATATTTTTTCATGAAACTTTTTTTGTTTGATTAAATTCTCAGTATTGATTATTTTGTAATGTGATTTGCAGCCAAATTCTCGGTAATGATTAAAATTTTCTCGGTAATGAAGGGCTTAATATTTTTGAGGTAATGATTTGCAGCATATGTTTACACATATGTGAAGGGCTGAATATAGTTTAATGCGCTCAATTCTCGGTAATGATTAAAATTTCTTCTCTTTTATGCAGCTATCTTGTAAAATCCGAGTGAATAGCATCAATGGTGGGTGGGTGGAACACAGGTTGAGCATTCTCTTTTATGTAGCTATCTTGTAATGTGATTTGAGCTTATATTCAGCTACTTTGGTTGTAACTTTGGAGGTTAAGACTTTCTTTGATGAAACTCTGTTTGATGTTGTAACTCATGATGTAACTCTGTTTGATGCTTGTAGCTTTGCTGTAGCTTATATTCAGCTACTTTGGTTATAGCTCAATTCTCTTTTATGCAGCTATCTTGTAATGTGATTTGAACTTATATGCAGCTATCTTGTAATGATTATTCAGCTACTTTGGTTATGCGCTCAATTCTCCGTTAGATTCATCACAATTCCTGCAATGCAACATTTGTAGAGATACAGGTTAATGTATGTACCTCTGTTTATTGAATTTGAAGAACTGATGGAGTAACTTGTGCACTTCTCCATAGTTTTCTGTTGCAGAAACAAGACGCTCCTTTATCCACAGAGGAAGCTTGTCAGTATGGTGTGAGAAATTATGATTTGATGAATTGGATGCATAACGTGAGTCGACCAACAAAACTGCGGCATAGTCATTTATATGCCTAATTGCTCGACCTGTAGAAAGCAATAAGGAAAGAAAATTAGCATTATATAACAAATTTTTGTGCCTATAAATTTATGAATGTGCATAGTATTCCCTTCCTCTTTGCTTACAGCTTCTTAAGATCTCAAAACCAGACTGAACTGTAACATGGTTTCAGAGAAAGAGTCATGTAACATGGTTTCAGAGAAAGAGTCATGGTCTCTCACCCTCTAGTTCACTGAAGTCTCGTCCAGCCAATCTCAGTAACAAAAATGTTCCTACCAGTAATTCTGAGCTTATACTATCCAACCAATAGCAACCAATTACAACTTCTCCATCTAAAATCCGAACATACCATACCCCCATATTATTAAGGGTGAGAATGTGTGATGCTGGGACTTGAAGCATACTTGAGATTCCAGCTATTCAATCTTACTTCCACATCAACCAAAAATTTCAACTTTAAACTGCATCAAGCAGGACAAAACCAAACATCAATTTCGCCAGCAAACAACAAAAACCATCAAAATGGTCTCACCTGAACGAGTCCAGACTTCGCGAGTATAAAACAAATTACTAATCTAATTTTTCTGAAGATACAAATCCAGAACACCAGACGTTCTCATCAACATACACTTCCACAAAGAAGGATAATAGATTCATTCACTCTACTTAGCACAAATCCAATAAATATACCAAATACAAATCCAAGAAAAATACCGAATAAAAGAGCAAATACAACAAGCTTCAACAAATCCATAATATCAATCTCAATCTTTCTCTTTTCCCGCAATTCTCCACTTGACACGGCTCTTGAAACTTGCGGCCTCATGCTCGACAGCTTTGTCTGAACAAGCCCTGTCTTTGAACCTTCAAACTCCTCTTCATCAGATACCCATTTGAAGAATCCGCAATTACTCACTTTCCAATTAGCGCATCCCAAAAACAATCGACCAGGGTTCGACTCGTCCAGATCTAGAGAGTATAGCCCTCCTTCCATAATGGCACAACAGTCCATGACGATTGCTTGAAGATGACTCCATGATTAACGGCTACAGATACAAAAGTTTGCATAAGAGAAAGACCTTGTATTACTAATGTAAATTTTGATCATATAACGTAAATTTTGATCATATTCTTTACAGCTTTACTCAAATTGCTTCAGTTAGGTTGGGGGGATGCAAAACATCTGTAACTTGCTTTAGAATATGTATACATTATTTACAAACCCAAATAAAAGAACACATAAGAATTGAAAGAAAAGCATAACACAAAACAAACTTTCATGCACAATAGAACCATCTGTGCACTTATACACACAAACAACAAAACATCTAAGAAGACTCGTATTAAATCAGATGTGGAGGAACTACATGAAAGATGTTAACCCAAGAATCCAAATTTTAATCCAAAAATCCAGTATTTGAATATTAAAAAAAGTCCAAGTTCTAGTCGGAATCCTAGAAAGTAAACATTCCTGGACGATTATTCTTCCTAACCAACTATCCTGAGCCAATAACACCCCATAAGAGTTTCTCAATGAGAAATTCTAATTACAGTCAATGTATGAGTTTATGTGAACTATAACATAATAAACATCCTACTCGTACGCACTATATAAAAGTTAACACCCAAAAGGCATATTAATAAGTGCTCAGAAATATCCAGACAGTACTATGTAATTTATGTATTAATATCTCAAACAGTTGCTATGCATCAGCTCCTTTTAAACCCTCAAAAAGAGATTGTTTGAGTAGTTCCACGGCAAAGGGACATTCTCAGTAACAAATAGTGGAAAGTAGCAATTCTTAACTTTCATCTTCTTTATTTCTTCATCAAAGAAATCCTGCCAAATTGAAGTATTTATAAAGATAAATCTGTATGACATATGGTGACCTGTTTATTCATATTTTCTAATTAAAATATCCCGAAACCAAAACAACATGCTGATCATAATTATACAATATTCCATCATAATAACAAGTTTTAAGCACAATAATATGCAAATGGAATAGCGAGAGGGAGGGGGAATCTCGCAGAGGAGGACGAGGAATCTCGCGGAGGGGGTGGGGAGATCGATCGATCTCGAGATCGAGAGAGGGGTGGGGGGATCGAGAGATCGAGGTGGGGGGGATCTCGTAGCTTTTGGAGGTCGAGAGAGAGAGGGATTACCTACAGCTCAGAGGGCTCAGAGGGCTCGCGGCGGAGATCGAGATCAGGTGGATCTGTTGCAGGCGAATGCGGCGGCTCAGAGGGCTCGATCAGGTGTGGTGTCTTTGGGGCACGGCAATCATCTTCGGGGCACCACCAGGCATACTTTCCAAAAATTGATTAAATAACCACACAAAATCATCAACGCTCTCATGATTCAAAAATCCACAAGCAAAAACAATTGTTTGACCATGATTGTTAACCCCCATTATTGGTGCAAATATAAGGCCATAGCGATTAGTGTTATAAGTAGTATCAAAGATTACAACATCACCGAAAAATTTGTAAGCCCGCCTTGATCTTGCATCGGACCAAAAACAACGAGTAATCTTTTGTTCCTCATCGGCCTCAATTTGAAAAGTAAATGAGGGATTCTTTCCTTGTTCCAATTTTAAATACTCATAAAACATTTCTCCATCATGCCCCTTCATATCAGCACGTATATCCCTTTCATGATTATACAAATCTCTTTGCGTGCACCCAATATTTTCTATACCTCCAGATTGTACTCCAAGAAAACTAAATTGTTGATGCTGAGGTATATTCACCATGGAGAGCTGTTTAGTTAAAGACTTTGTTGCAGCTGAAACGTTACGATGGGACCTCAAAAGATGAACCTTTGATGGTGTTGATAGCGGGTGACTGTGCTCCTCATTAAAAACAGTAACAATGTATTTTCCGGAGTTTGATTTTAAAACTGTAATTTTGGCAGTACAATCCTCAGCTAAGCTTCATCGACGTCTTTTCTTTCCAACATCCACGATTTTTAGAGATTTTCCTTGTTTAAAACAAACATACTCCTTCCTTCTTATTTCACAACTTCCCGGCTCTTTCTGAGTAGTTCAAGACCTTACACTAAACTCAGCTGCTTTAGCATAAGCATTGTAGAATGTCACAACATCATCTATTGTGTTAAATTCTCGCCCCTTTTTTGGCTTCAACTCATCTGATACTTGAGGAGTATATATCAAATCATCGTCGTCCAAGTTTACTTCATTAGCTTCAGTGCCCAAGTTTTCCATTTCTCACAAAAATTGTAATTGACCTATAAAAAAATGGAGGCAATCTGAAACAGAAAATAATATGGGGAAAAAAGACTTAATTTTCGACATTAGTACCTAGTTCTTTTCTGATCGCATAAAAATGAAAACCCCCCAGAACTATATAAATGTGAGTTGGGGCGCTTGATGGTTACCTGAGTTGGGCGAAAAAATAATCCTGGCTACGCCACTGCTTATAAAGTATCGTTATTTCAAACTTATTACCCCTGTGGTTTCATTTTTGCAGATAGGCTTCCGGGGTTAGTTTTTTACTATTTTATTCTCAAGTAGACTTGCTAATTTTACCCTGGGGCGATATATTCATTAACAAAACTTGTAATATTCATTAAGAAAAAATGTACAGGTAAGTGATTATTCATTAACAAAACTTGTAATATTCATTAACAAAACTAAGAGGAAAAAAGGGAAGTTGATGATTGGCAGTCGAAACTGTTGTTGACAATTGATGAGTATTCACCATGGTTTTACATAAACTCCAACACTTTACTTCAGCTGAAATTGCATTAGAAAAAAGGAGAGGTTGAAGCATTTGTCGAAAATAGGTAAACAAATTTGGGGCTTGATGGTTACCTGAGTTGGGGGATCTCGAGATCGAGCTCGAGGGAGTTGGGGATAGTCGGTCACGGTTGGCGGAGTTGGACTTAATCGTCGTCGGCGTCGGATGAGTTGGGGAAGTCGGCGGTCTCAGACTTCGTAGTCGTGGTGGAGGAGGCGGTCTCAAATTTTGTAGTCGTGGGGTTCGTGGTGGTGAGGCGGATCTGGGGAGCTCCGGTTGGAGATGGGTTATTTGGGAGATCGTCGGCGTTGGAGATGGCAGATTGGAGATGGAGGGGGAGCTCCGATTGGAGATGGAGGAGGGATTGGGGATTTTTTGGGAGAGAGAGAAAGATTTTGGGTCACGAGACTTGAAGATCTCGCTGATGCTGGCTTGGATTGTCGGTGACATTTTGCAAAAAAGCCCCCTCTTTTAATCCCCAAGTACGGTCACGAGTTCGAAGTCAATTAGCGAAGTTTTTTTGCGAAAAAACCCAAAATCGCCTCAATGCGTACAAATCG